TTAAAAAGAGGATCATTATTAGTCCAATCGTTCGCCCCCCTTTTTTTCTCCCTTCCCTGTTTCATTTTCCCACCTTTTATGGCTCCAGGAGGCCCCTTCAAAAAGTGTATTTCTTGCACTAACAAGATCCCTACAGTCAACCTTCGACTTACAAACTTAATCCGTTCTGGAAGGAAGTTTGTAAGCTGAAAAGTTCTTAAGTCAAGTCAGCATTTCCCATAGCAATGCATTGAAAACCAATTAATCCGTTCCGGCTGTTTTTGGTTCTTAGGTCGAGGGGCGGTTTGTAACTTGAATCATTAGTTCCCATAGGAACTAATGCAAAGCTGGTTAATCCGTTCCTACCACTAGGGGCAGAGGGAGGGAAGGAGGGAACAGACATCTTTTCAACAGAACACCTTGAAAAACACCTTTTCAGCCAAGACAAGCACCTTCTGGGGAAAACCAAGCACCTTTCAGACAACAGATCACCTTGAAAAGCACCTTTTTAATCAAGACAAGCCAATACAAGCACCTTTTGAGGGAAAAGGGGGCAGCAAAGAACACCTTTTAAAAATCAAAAAATTTTAAAAAGCCAAAAAATAAAAATACAGTCCATACAGCACTGTACCAGGCAGTACCAGGCAGTCTGAAGACTGTCTCCAAATCCACTCTCAAAATGTTGGGAAGAGCGAGAAAGCAGACAGGCACCCTCTTCACTGGCCAACGGTTAACAAATTTCTTGCTTTCCCCACCTCCCGCGTGTTTTTTTCGGTTCATAACTCGAATCTAAGTTTGCAAGTCAAGTAAATATTTTTCTATCAGAGCGGTTTGTAAATCAAAATGTTTGTAACTAGGGCCGTTTGTCGAGGGTTGACTGTACTTCAGACAGCCACAAAGCTTGTTTATTTTGTCTTGGTGAAGCTCATCAGCCTTCCGGCTGCCCTCATTGTAAAAGTTTCACAAAACAAGCGATTAAATTGAGGCAACAAAGACTGCATGCCTTCCTTTGGGATCAATCTTTTCGGCCGCCAGTAAAAATGGACACTCCACAAACCCCTCAACTGCCAGCCACTTCTGCCTTGGCATCTCCCGAGTCAATCTCCAAAATCTAAAGTCTCTAAATCCAAGTCCTCTGGTTCCACTACTCATTCTACACCTTCGTCTAAACCTAAGTCTAAACCAACTAGTACAAAGTCTAAGAAATCCAAAAAAAAAATCTCTGCAAGACCTCATCCTATGTTACACCAGTCTTCGGATCAACAACACACCACAGTTGATTTTGACACCGATATGGACTCTATCCCACCTGTATCAAAGCACCCTCCTTCCCCACTGCTCACTGGATCACCATCCTAGGCGGATACCTCGGCTGAGGTATAGGTAGTGGAGTGTTTGGCTGAATCAAGCCCCAGATTGCTGGCTCTGGGTCAGTGTGTGGCTCTGGGTCTCCTTCCATCCTTGACCCAATTACAGTGAAGAAGAGTAAGGCTAAGACACACCATACTGGTCATTCCGATACTGTCATATATCAGTCTCCGTGACATTCAGGGCTGAAGGTTCGAAAACATCAGCCCAAGCATGTCAAGGTTCTTGAGCCTCCTCCATTTTATGGAGTACCGACCATGCCATACCACCATCACCATCAGTACTGGCATCATGGTATGGAACAGTATTACAACCCTTGGATGCACTATAGATATTGCTACCCTTCAGATTCATCCATGTCTTCTTCATCCCGGTACCAATCCGATACCAAATCATCAGACGAAGACAATTTTCCTACTCCAGTACCAGCGACCCGTACAGGACATTGTAAGAGACATGATAGCTCTGTGTCAGTGCTACCAGTACTGAAGAAGCAGAAGACCAGCAAGCATTCGGTACCAACCATGTCTAGAAATCGTACCACGTCTGTCCTGGTTTCTCCTAGGAACCGACCCACCACTTCTTCTCAGGACCGGTCTTATGCGGTACGCTGTCCCTCAGTACTGGGCATGGTACCAAACATCAAAAAAGACCATCGGGAAGTTCCATAGCATTAATATCATTGAAAGATGACTGACTAGCTAAACATCAAAGAGTTGAACACTCCCCTGACACTTCTGACACTTCCTGTTTACAGTCATCAGACTCTGACTCATCGAATTCTTCTTCCTTCCAGGAGTCCCCTCCTAACCTGGCAACTCTGGATTCAGCTATTGGTGACGCAAATCCTCCATCACCTGCTGAGGATTTTGCCTCATACTCTAACATGGTCCAGCGAATAGCAAAGGCACTGGACCTTGACATCCAACAACCCACACAATCAGAATTGGACAAGGTCTATCATGATATTGATGAAGATCAAACACCTCCACTGCGTATGGGTTTCATACCTTCATTACTGAAGCTGATAAAACAATTTGGGGCCAAAACCTCTTCAGTACTGCAAATTTCACGTAGAGTAGAGAATCTCTACAAAACACATTGGACCGATATCGAGTTTCTCTCAAAACATCCACCACCAAACTCAGTTGTCATCGACGCCGTGCAATCAATCCACTGCCACTCCAAGTAATAAGGAAGGCAGAAAATTAGACATAATTGGACAAAGAATCTACTCTTTGGCTTCCTTCACCTTCTTAGCTGCAAATTACATGGCAGCTATGGGGGCTTATCACAAACATCTTTGTGATAAGCCTTCCATCCCTCCAGGCAGCCCCCACAGAGCTCAAACCGCAGGGCCTTTCCTTCCATTAGGAGGCCATGGCTCTTGCCCAGCAAAAAAGAATTACAGTGCGGCACATTACTGAGGCTGCTTCAAAACATCTAGTGCCAGCTATAGCTATGCGAAGGCACGCCTGGCTTTGGTCCGCCAATATATTGGAAGATTCCTAAATGATAATTGAAGCCTTACCTTTTGACAGTTCTGGCTTGTTTGATACCAAGACGGATAACATCCTTGAGAACCTGCAAAAGATGAGAAAGATGGCACGCTCTTACAATATCCAACCCTATTATAAACCCCGAAAATACTAGTGACAACGACAGTACCCTTTCCAGCAATACAAGCCATTTTCAGAGAAGCAAAGATACGTACCACAGCAGTCTTCCTTATATCAATCCAGACAACATAGACAGCGTCAGCATCCCTGCCAATCCTACAGGTGACCTAAGAAGAAAAGCAAACAGAGTCTTTGACTTTCTGATTCCCTTGTCCTCCCACCTACCCACCACCCCTTTCACCCATTTTGCAGCCTTTTTCCCTACATGGACACATATAACTACAGATTCATGGGTGCTCTTCATCATCACAAATGGATACGCAATAGAATTCCTATCTATCCCACCTCCTCAAATCATTCTCACTTACTCCTCCACTGCTTTCAAATAAGAAATTCAAACTCTACTATCAAAATCATCCATATCACCCATCACTCCAAATCCGTCCGACCCCGGATTCTTCTCCAAGTACTTCCTAGTTCTGAAAAGAGACAATTCTCTACATCCCATTCTAGATCTTTGGGACCTCATCTATTTCATCGTTCAGCGCCGTTTTTATATGGTGACTTTGGAACACATCCTTCCATTGCTGCAACATAGGGATTGGTTATCAGTCATCAACCTGACCGATGCATACTTCCACATCTCTATCAGATGCGACCACCGCAAAATTCTGTTCCTCTCTCAGATGGGCCACCTTCGAGTTCAACGCCTTACCATTTGGACTATCAACAGCACCAAGAGTATTCACAAAGTGCATGGCCCTGGTGGCAGCATATCTTCATACTCGCCAGATCTCAGTGTTCCCATATATAAACGATTAGCTACTAGTGGCTCATTCCAAAGACCAAGCAATAAGAGACGTCAATATCACTCTGTTTCTGCTAAGAGATCTAGGCCTCAAGGTCAGCTTCAAGAATTCAGTGCTCACACCTTCGCAAAGGGTAGATTACATAGGCGCCGTGCTCAAATCTCGTCACACCAGAGCCTTCCTCTTTTGGGAGCGTGCATTCAAAATACGGTCTCTTGTCGAGTGCTTTCATCCGCAGGCATATGTGACTGCTTATCAAGCGCAATGACTACTCGGACTCATGGCCACCACCACCTCGGTGATCCAGCATGTGAGGTTGAAGATGTGCTTGCTACAAGCATGGTACCTGTCTTTGTTCAATCCCCTTGTCAACGCACCCAACTTGTGCCTACAGGTTACTGACCAGCTTCAGTGGTGGATCATTCCTGCCAATTTATTCATGGGGTGCCCCTTTGCACCACTTTTGTTGATGACGTGGGTAACAACCAATGCCAGTCCTGTAGGTTGGGGTGCGCACTGTGGGGACCTTCAGGTGCATGCAACATGGTCACCAATAGAAAGGCTTCTCCACATCAAGAACCTGGAATTGTTGGCCATTTTGAAAGCATTCCATTCTTTCGTACCAGTCACTCCTGGCATGGTGGTCCAGGTTACCACGGACAATACTACTGCACTGTATTATGTCTACAAACAAGGGGGTATGTATTCTCCTCCCCATTACTCCTGGCTGTTCAGTTTTGGGATTGGTGCCTTGATCACCACATCTTTCCATCGGCTGTACACATTTCCACTCAGGACAATGGCTGGGCAGATTATCTGATCAAACAGACTTTCCAGATGCACGAGTGGTTTCTCGATCACGACGTGTTTCTCAGCATCTGCAGATGATGGGGTCAACCTGTGATAGACGCGTTCGCAACGGAGTCAAACAGGAAATGCTTCTGATACTTTTCAAGAGCAGGAATAGGCCGGAGACCATGGTATCCTGGAGTACGCACCTCATCTATCTCTTTCCTCCAATACCACTCATCTTACAAACCATTGTGAAAATGAAACAGGATAGCGCCAATGCGATCCTAATTGCCCTGTACTGGCCGAGGCAACCATGGTTCACAATGTTGACCACCAGGTCATTCCAATCAATGCAGCTACCGTGTCTCACTAACCTCCTCACTCAACATTGAGGGAGGATCTTCCATCCTGACCTTCAATCCTTACATCTGATGGCTTGGAGAATCTTACCTCAATAGACACTATATTCTCTCTCTTGTCTACTAATCATCTCTACACTTATAAATGGCTGGCTTTTCAAAAATTTGCGAAAGTGCATGATCTTCTGATGGCACCGACTACCCTGAGAGCTGCATTACTTTTTCTATCCTACCTGTTTGATCATCACCTGTCATTGTCCATGCTGAAGGTCTACTTGTCAGCTGTTGTGGCGCACCAACCCAAAGATTCTGAGGCTACTTTATTGTTTTGCACCCTACATTGAAAAGATTCCTCCGTGGGGTAGCCCACCTTAATCCTCCAAGACAGTCTCCTACACCTCGGTGGTCGCTGCATATGGTCCTAAGGCGTTTGTCTCTCCCATCATTTGAACCATTGGCTACTGCCACAGAGCGCTTGTTGTCATTTAAAGTTCTGTTCCTGGTGGCAATCACCTCTGCCTGTAGGGCATCAGAGCTGGCAGCTCTCCGTGTTGATCCTCCCTTCCTACAATTTCACCCGGATAAGGTTACCCTATATCCAGACATCTCCTTCCTTCCTAAGATATCGACTGATTTTCATGTTTGGCAGCCAATCATTCTGCCCACCTTTTTACTAAGCCTTCCACTAGTATTGAGAGATCACTTCACCTTTTGGGTGTGCGACGTGCCCTAGCTTTCTATGTAAAAAGGACTGCTTCCTTTAGGAGGTCCAAGCGTTTGTTTGTCTCGCCTCATTCACCTCACAGAGGACAGCAGGTTTCTCCACAGACCATATCTAGATGGATCGTGCAGACTATTCGTCTTACCTACCAATTAGCTAAAAAGCCTCTTCCAGGCCCTGTCAAGGCATATTCTACCAGATGGCTGGCAATGTCTACGGCCTTTCTCAGAGATGTTCCAGTCCAGGATATCTGTAGGGCTGCCACCTGGTCAACTCAATCTACCTTTGCATCCCATTATCGTTTGGACATGTGTGCCAAGGCGGGTGCATGTTTTGGACATGCGGTTCTCTCTTCAGCTTTGCCGTGACGTCCCTCCACCTTTAAAGATAAACTTGTCAGCCACCCATTAGTGTGCATTCACAGAGACCATAAAGAAGAGAGGTTACTTACCTGTAACTCTGGTTCTTCCAGTGGTCATCTGTAAATTCACACTTCCCGCCCATCATCCCCTCTGTCTGTCATGTCTGTCTCTCTCTTGGAGCAGCAGCGTCATTGGGGAACTGAGGTAACTGCTAGGATCACATGGGTTGCGGGCGGGGGCGGTCCTAGCGAGTTTTCTGCTCCAGAATATTCTGAGGCCTCTGCGCATGCGCAGACTTAACCCATTAGTGTGAATTCACAGATGACCACTTGAAGAACCAGAGTTACAGGTAAGTAACCTCTCCTTATATTTATTTTTCCCTTGTTTATAACTGGGTTAAAGCATGGGATAGAACAAGGCAGAGTCTGATAATTAAAGCAAACAAGCAGTAAATTTATTTAGAATTATAAAAAGTAAATATAACAAAATATGAGGCAAAATCCAGTTGCAGCTAGTTACATCACACAAGTCAGTGGCCTTTCATCACTAATTAAAAGTGATGTTGTTTATGCAGATGTTGATTTGACTATTTGTGATTGTATATTGTAATTCTGATTTAGAGTTTTATATAACTATTATGGGTTTTTTTAAGTGTCAGTGTTTTACTGTGTTGCAAACTGCCGAGAGTGGTCTTGCAGTCAGATGGGTGGTGTGGTATGATAGATAGATTAGATAGGTAGGTGGGTAGGTAGAAGCTTATGATCTCACCCAGCCCCAGTTATTTTTAGACATTAAAGATTCCCCCATTCAGAGGGCCCTAGAACATAAGGGATTCCCAGGGAAGCACAGTAATTAAATGTGCTCAGATTCTGCACAGGCACAACCAAATAGCTTGAAAAATGAAAAATCAGTTGGTCAGAGATGTACAAGTTAAATCTCAGGAAAAAAGTGTCTCTAAAGCACTTATTATCATTCTGGCTGTGATTAAGAGGAACTATAAAGTGCTTTTACTAATTTTAGTTTCACGTTTATTGATATTGTAAAAACTTTTAAAACTGTAGTAATCTGTGATAGTTTTAATATAAGCACCAGATCATTTCTATTAAGCATTTAAAACAACTCTGGTGTACTGTTGGAACACATATTTTGTTATGCAAAAATTTCAGTTAAACAATGGTCATACACTTTTGGTTTCTTTGAGTGTTCATCAAACTGCAGTTGAAGCTTGGTGTTCTGTACAATAACATACTTTTTTCTTGATCTCCATGTTCTTATTTGTCTGTACACAAGCTTTTAGAGACTAAGATGATTTCAGAAGCATCATCAATCTGCCAGCCTGACCATGTTGCCAGAATTATTGTTAAAGATGCCACTGTGAGTAAAACTTTCTATTAAAAGTCTTTCTTATTGGAAATTGAGCATGAATGGCTTACCAAACTAGTTAAATTATTATTAAATATATTACATGCATCCTTTTCTCGCTAAATACTAGAACTTACTTTTTTGTTTTACTAGAGAACCTTGCTTTGAATGTATACACTGGAATTAGTATGTGTGGTAACTTGTATCAGCAAAAACAGGCCCCTGCCTGCAACAACTGTAGAAATCTAGAACAGTGAACAGCACAGAACCAAGAGTTCTGGAATTAATTTCAGCTTTCAATTACTCGTATCGTACCCAAATTGTTTGCTAGCTTTTTATAGTGCTTTGGACATCATTTGTTCTAGCCCTTTGAAATGATTTTAATTATTTTTATTTACTATTCTTGTTTGCTTTTTCTTTCAGCTATAGTTCATTTTTATATACCATCTGCTTTTGTCAATGCATATTTCCCCATTAGTAAAAGACTGTATTAGTAAAGATAGAGGATAGTAACTTGTACAAATTAGCATACTATGCCCACTTTTTAGCACATGGAGTGCATGATAAGCAGAAATGTAGAGGGCATGTTATAATCTAGAATACAGAAATGACAAACTTACTAAAAGATTTGGGAAATTGTGCATTTAGGAGTCAATCTTGGGCTGAAGAGAGTGAATAAATAAGAACATATGCAATTCTTTAGGGGCAAAAGAATGGATCGGGGGGAAAGGGCTTATTTATGTGTACAGCACATTTTATTTCAAATTAGTGTAAAAATAAAAATACCTCTGCTATCCATTAGGCTATTTTAAAAAAATCTTGCTTTTTTCCTAAGTGGAATGAATTTTTTTTTTAAAAAAAAAAATCAAACTATAAAATCAGATTAAGTTGCAATTCTTTCATCTATGGAGAGCATCCAAAGGATTATGATTTTTTTGCAGGCCCCCCACCCTCCAAAGTTTGGGGAGGAGGTCTGCTCTCAGATGGAGAGATGTGACTCTATAAACATGTTCCCGAGGCTGCAGAAGGACCTATAATTGCTACAGTACTCTCTGTGGGAGGTCACAAAGAAGAGGCATTCCATAGGGCCTGTGACTCTGACTTGGCCCCAGAACAGCTGTTGAAATTGTGGCAAGGGAAGAGAATAGGATTGTCAGGAACAACTTGCTAAAAGGGCATTTGAAAAGGACATTTCTCTACCTTGTTACTTTCCATTCCCTTCTCCAAAGGATTAAATACACACTGTAACTGAATGTAAAGGCGGTGGTGGTAGAAGTTGTTAAAACAGAAAAAAAAATCAAATAAAATATTTACTGGAATTAAAGAGGATTAACAACTTGTCTGAAAAGAGGGTAAGGGAGAACATATCCAATTTTCCTGAAGAAAGAAGGCAGTTCCTTATAGGTAACATTGCAATCCAGTAGTTTGGGAAGGTGACAAGAGGTTGACAAAGTAGCCAAAGATGATGAAAGCTGTTCCTAACTGTGTTGCTGGCTAAGAGTTTATAGAAAGTCCAGGATCATTCCTGAACTCCATATTGGATTATGCGTGAGCAAAGCTTATGGCTTTACAAAACAAACCCCAAAACAACAGGGTATACTATTTCTTTTTAACTTTACATGCTTAACCTGGGAACTCTCAGTGTTTCATTACATCCAAGGAGAAAATAGTTTAAATAGTTTTAAATATTTTAAACCATTTGAAGTACAGTGGTGGCTCGCTTAACGACGTTAATTTGTTCCAGCAAAATCTCTAGAGCGAAAACGTCGTAAAGTGAAATTAAAAAACCCATTGAAACATATTAAAACCCGGTTAATGCATTCCAAAGGGCTAAAAACTCACTGTCCAGCAAAGATCCTCCATACGGCAGCCATTTTCGGTGCCTCTATAGCGAGGAATTCTTCCCTGAGCACAGCAGGGGAGCCATTTTGAGCACCCGGCAGCCATTTTGAAAACCTGACAATCAGCTGTTTTGATCATCGTAAGGCGAAGAATTGGTTCCCGAAGCAGGGAACCGATCTTTGCAAAGCAGAAAAAAAAACCATTTAGTCTATCGTTTTGCAATTGCGATCGCAAAAACATCGTTGTGAAGCGGATTCGTCGTAATGCGAGGTAATAGTTAAGCAGGGCATGACTGTATTTTAATATCTTCTAGAATAATAGAACTGACTATATCGACTAAAATATTGGGTAAATGTACTTCAGCCATCTAAGATTGCTCAGCCTCTGTGCTTGCAGTGTTTTTGATAGATGTAGTGGCCTGCAGTGAAGTCTTACACTGCATCTTTTTGAAACTGATCCTGTTGATGGAATTATTTGGTAACCTACTTAAATTTTTTTCATTCCACCCAGCAAGGAAAATTCTCCAGTGCTATCGGTGTAGATGGTCACCTGTTGGCAATTCTGACCAGTGGAATGTCACCAGCCTTTTCTATTGCTGACGCCTTTGCAGGAGTAAGAAACAAAATCACACTTGACTACTTCACTGATCTGTTCTTCTTTTCTAGTGTTGAATATTCAGGCTTATTGGGTCTGTAAAATCCAAAAGTCTTTCTTTCTCAGTGGCTTGTAGTACAATAAGTGGCTATGGTAGAGTCATAATGACAGATTTCATTTATGGAGATTGACATATGCTGTATTTATTATTTATCAGTCTATTTCTGTTCCAGCTGCTTCCCATAAAGGGTCTCATGGTGGCTCAGAGTAATTAAAATACAAATAAAGCTAAAAGGAGCAATAATTATACAATTAAACGTGATTAAACGTAGGATAGTATTAAAATTGATGATACAAACACTAAAACAATCATTAAGGGCACACTTAAAAGTTTGTAACTGCTATCTTGGGGTGAGTTTACATTTGACACACAATGTAATTGCTAAAAGCCTGTTTAAAAAGAAACATCCTTACCTAATGACAGAAAGACAAGAGGGAGGCTGCCAGCCTGGTCTCCTGAGGGAAAGCACCCCACAGTGTGGAGGAGCCCCAAAAATGTGCTCTCTCACATTGCCTACAAACACAGCCATGAGGACAGTAAAACTTAGAGGAGCCCTCCCTCACCCCTGACCAGTAGCCAGTGAAACTGTAGTGGGAAGGTTATTATATGCTGCCTATAAGTATAGACTTCAAATCGCATGTAGTACTAGTTCCCCACTGGTAAGGCCTTATCTTGAGTACTGTGTCCAGTTCTGGGCACCACACTTCAGGAAGGATGCTGACAAACTGGAGCAAGTTCAGAGGAGGGTAAAAAGGATGATCCCAAGCTCTATGAAGAAAGACTGCAATAACTGGCCATGTTTAGCCTAGCGAACAAAAGACTGAGGGAGAGATACAATCACATTCTTCAGATAATTGAAAGATTTTCATACATAGGAGGGACAGAATCTGTTCACGAACATCCCAGAGTGCAGGACATGTAACATTGGGTTCAAGTTACAAGAAGCCAGATTTCGGCTGAATATCAGGAAAAACTTCCTAATTATTAGAGTAGTATGGCAGTGGAACCAGTTACCTCAGGAGGTGGTGAGTTGCAACGCTGGAGGCATTCAAGAAAAAATTAGACAACCATCTGTCAGGTGTTGTTTGATTTGAATCCCTGTATTAAGCAAGGGATCAAAATCAATAGCCCTGTCCAGTTCCTAGTGTAGACCATCTATCATGCAACCAAAAGTGTTCATCCTATAACCAGACTTGAAACCAGGTTGAAAGGGATCCAAATACTGTAATCCATTTCATGCAGGAACCCTGAAACTGGGAAGTCACCACCTGCTCCAAAACTTTGTTCAAAAATGGCACGAGACTTGAAAATGTTATCAGTTGAAATATCAGCAATACCAACTGTTAACATTTAGCTTGAATTAAACATTCTCTTCCAACTGTATGAAATGTGGCAAAAGGAAAACTTTTATGTGGAAGGAGGATCTGTTACCAACTTTGGCCAGTGCTGCAACTACATATTTTCCTGCCCATTGGAATGTGTTTTGCAGTGAATTAAGCCAATGCTGATTAAATGGTCCTTTTTCATCAATATGTGAATAGTCTGTCTGCTGGCTCTTTGGGGCCAATCAAATCTCTAAAATTTCATAGGGAAGAAAATATTGTTATATAATTGCTAGCTAAAGTACATTGAATAAGACAACTTTCTCTCTCTCTCTCTTGCCTTTCAGATTATTTGCATGGGTCTTTTTCGCTTCATTGGCCTGTACTTTCTAACAAGTTTTAACAGCATAGTTCTCCGTTGCATGGTACAAAAAGAGAAATCTGGAAAAAAGGACTAAAGTGGAATGAGCCTGAATTCAATTATTTTATCAAGTTGGACATTTTGCTGCTAAATGGAACTGTACCTGTGGCCTATATGCCTCATTTAAATATATTATATATGGGGAAAGAGGTGCTGATCTTCGGTGGTGAAAGAAGGAAACAAATGAGCAACTCCAGAAAAAGAGCCTATGCAAAAGGGTCAATGAAGAAGACTGCAGTGTTTTTATTCTCTTCTGTGATTTGAAGTAATAAGCGGAGTGTTACCTTAGAAATTAGTTTGTTGGAAGAGCAGAACTTCAGAGAGTCCTATTTGCTGCTAATTCTGGACCAATACTAATGGTGGTTAAAAGTTTGATTTAGTGATGTAATTTAGGGGCTGGTTCAAACATGCATTCTGTGATGTAGTTCTCCTACACAACTGTGCTGCTCAGAACTAATACTGACAGCCCAGTCCATACATAAATCTGGCATTATTTTTCCTGTGAGGGATCTGAATCATGTGAACATGGCTCTGCAGTGTTGACAATGTGTGAGGTAGTTCTGAAGGTTGCAACAAATCTAGTTACAACCAAAAAACTAACCAGAAATGAAGTATTTTACCTCTGGAATAATACGTGGACTGGGCCAAAGTCTTGTTTTGTTTTGTTTTTGTGGTTGTATACTGGAGTGCAGTATGTGGCTTTGATTCTAGAATTCCCTTTAAACAACCCTCTCCTTGCAATATGATAGGGTTGCTTGCATGAGAGGACTGTATCAGGTTCGAAAATGAACATCTGAATTTGCCCGTACAATAGTTCCCTTGGAGACTAATGTTGATTTTTCTCTTACCAGGACTTCAGGATTTAGACAGACACAATATTTTAGCTAATCTTTCCTATTCCTAAAACACAGGAGTGCACAGAGAGCTTTACAAAGTCTTCCCTGTGTTGTATTAAGAACAATGTTAAATTTGAAAAATCAGTGACATTATTTTTCTATATGATCCACATTTCTTCGGGTGGAGACAATGAAATATCCTTTTAATAGTTGTATATCTTCAGCAAAATGAATCCCTTGCTGTGATACTAGAAAATGTCCCCCCCCCCGATTGACCAAGTACACCTTTATATTTGCAGATAAACCAATATGAATGAAATTGCTAGAATACTTGTTTTTTTTCTCTGTAAGTTGAGTTCATGTTTATGACTGCCAGTGGAGTTGAAAGACAGGAGGCTCTCTACCAAGCAGAAATGGAAGTAAGCAAATAAGGTGCTTCAAATAATTAAATATAACATAGGGAAGTGCTTACATTCCTCCTCTGGTGGTGCCAGACTGTTGATACTGTTCTGAAATTGTAACCCTAGCACGTCAGTCTTGTTACAACATAGAATTTGGGCTTACGAAAAGCGTCTCAGTAGCGTTAGGGAATTAAATGATCGTGAGTGGGCCGGTTCCCACTGGTTACAGATTTTATGGAATTTCAGTGTTCATCTGGTTGTTTACAAACAGTTATTGCTATCCACCATCATTATCCAAGTGCCTAACATGACTGTCTGGCAAGAGTCTCAACAAGCCAGCTTGTTAGGTGGGGGAAATGGTTTCTAAGAGTGACAGGCTCTCCGCTGCCAAAATGCAGTGGATTGAGAGAAAAAAGTTGGGAAGAGGGGATTCTTTGTGGAGCCAGATTTAGCCAGCTGTAGTTCAAATCTGGGACTAGTCTTCCAGATTGTAATCAGTTTCTAATTCCTGATGTTTAAGGTTTATTTTTTGCCTGTTGCACAGGAGTACAGGTGTTGCTTCTAAATGCTGGGCCTGGAAACGCGGACTCTAAACAGAAATAACTGAGTCATCTGGCATTGGGGTGTGTATGAGAAAACTAGTTAGAAGAAATATATAATAATGTAATGATGATCTTTGGTGAGGTTTATTGAAGTACCTTAACCTTGACCCTCTAAGTTTCTTTCCAATTCCAGTTAGCAGCTAGTTGAAAGTGGTTTGATACTCTCTGGCAGTGAAACATGACACCAGAAGAGGTTTCTGTTGCTTCTGTGTGTAATCTTTTTTTTTAAAGGAGAACTTGCTGTATTGAATCCCACCATTAGAGTTGGTGCAGTAGTAGAAAATCTTTCAGGCTGCTTAACATTCCATTGAAACCTTGGATTCTAGGTATTTTAGATGCCAAATAACTGAACAGCTCAAGAAGAATAAATTATTGTGCATCTGTTTAAAGACATGTTTAACCCTCCTATTGAAATCATCAGGGCTTTGCTGTGTTCATCTGTGAATGGATTATGCCCTGTGTTTCTGTACAGTTGAATAGAATTGTCTTGTCATATTGCCAGCCTTTGCTTCTTTAATAAATGCTAAACGTTCTAATGCTCATATCCAGGCCAGATGGGTTTAATAATAACTGAAGAAAAGGAAGTAAATGGGTAATTAGCCTGCAATTGTATACTGTACTGTGAAAAAAGTTATGCACTTTTACTGTTAACATGAATATGGTTAAAACCCATAACTTGCTTCTGCTTGTTGCTTCACAAAGTGTTGTGCCAGAATTATAATTTGTAATATTTTGTAATTTCATTAAATAAATGAAATTTATGTTTTACTTTCACTGCATCTTTCTTCAAAACTGGCTCAAATGATTGTTCTCTGGTCATGCTGAGTAAATATATTTCTATTAGGACTTGTGATAATGTTTGTTTAATTTATATCTTGATTTTCTCTTTTGCAAGACCTAAGGTGGCTTACAATATAATGGCTACAACTCTCTTGCATAACTGCAAACCGCATAGCTTTTAGAAGCAAATTGCCCAAGTTAAAAAATCACAGTGGTCCCTAACCTTTTTATTGCCCCAAGTTAAAAAATCACTGTAGATCAGTGGTCCCTAACCTTTTTTGTACCGCGGACTGGCTTAGTGTGCAGGCGAGGGGGCATGGGTCCGTGCAGGCGGGGGGCATGTGTGGGTGGAGTGTGTGTGCGTGCATGTGGGGTGTCCGTGTGTGGGTGGCATGCAGGCGGGGGGGACGGGAGATCTCTCTCCTTGGCCCAATCCTGCCAAGGCCACGGCCCAGTACCAGGCCGCAGACCGGAGGTTGGGGACCCCTGTCAGGATTTGGCGACAGGAAAATATGCAGAGTTAATTGAAGACACTTACACGTTCTTCTTCTTTAGCAAGACAGGTGTATTTACAATATTTACAAGTATATACAGGCTGGCATCATTTCAGCATGGCAGGAAATCATTAAACAAACTGGCATAGAGGATAGCAGCAAGTGATAGAGAGAGAAGAGAAATCTATGAACACACTGTTCACTTATATACATATACAAGGCTTCTTCAGTCCAAGCAGAAGACACATTACATCATCTTCTGCACCTGAATGTCATATCATCTTCAGACATTGCATCATCTCCTCAGCAGTCACAGTGACTCAGCATACACAAATCTGGTCACCATGGCAGCTCATTAATAACACATTTATCCAGGTTCAGACCTATAAAAATTACAGTATCCTGACAACCCCTGCTGTAGATATTACTGGAAGACAGGAAGGTTGAAACTTCTTTTTTTCTTGCAAGCTCTAATACCAGGAGATGGCCTGTTAAATATAGGGAAGTGGCTACAAAGTAGGCTACCTAAATAGGCTGCAGCCTATGCAACGTAGGTGGCTTCTTGTGGGCTCTTACACTGTTCTCTGAGATCATGCAAAATGAGAAGTTAATTATGTAATCTTTATACTCTCCTTTTATAATAATCATGGGGAGCAGGATTTGATCCCTTCCTCTGCAGTTGAGTTGGGGGCCTAACCCTTTCTCTGTGCCTTTTTTCATGCTCAAAATGACACCATCTGAAGTTATGTGGCCCATGTAATTTCAGGAAAGTGGGCACAGTAATGGAGCAAGTGGGCACAGTAATGGAGCAAGTGACTACCATCTCAAGATCTCTCCCCTGCTTTAATGGGAAAGAAATGTGATGATACCATCTCTCCATGAAAGCACTGAACCTGCCAGCAACTACTAAATGTGTAATGGGGATGTCATGCATGATCTTCTATAGAGACACACCAAAGCACAAAGTTCATAAAGGAGTTGTAATTATACCTGAGTGGATGTATTTAGAAACCTGTTCATGACAGAAAGCCCTCACCAAGGTTCGCAGTTGTGAGGACCATGTCCAGCAAATCCTCTTAAAGATCCCCTTCAAATGAAAATTTATTGAGGAGATGTTGTGTGTGGGGGAGGGGAGAGCTTTGCATCTAGGTTTAGCTCCAGTACAGGAGTGCATTACCTGCATAAGGCCAATATTGCATTTTGTTGGTCTCCAGATCACTGGTATATTCCGTGATATATTAATCATTTTTGTGAGAATATGAGTATCACCACAACTGAAGCAAGAAACCCAGTTTTTTCAAAGAAGGATGTATATATCTTTCTTCATTGTGGCCTCTGTGAATGCACACAATATGTTGTATCCGGATGTTTCCTTTTTGCCCAAGGTTGTTTCCGAGTTTCACATCAATCAATCTCTTGTATTATCTACCCTGTTTCCAGATCCAAGTTATTCTTGTGTTTTTATGGACAGCACAAAGGCTCCCTGGCCTCCTCATTTACTCTTTCCAGATGGCTGGTTTCAGCTATCTCCCTTGCCTATGAAATACAGGGTAAAGCTCTTCATGAAGGCCTCAAGGCTCAACTCTGCCAGAGCTGTTGCAACTTATACAGCCCTGCTGCGCGGTGTCGATATACCAGACATCTGTAGAGCAGCCACCTGGTTCAACCTTTATAACACACTACAGGTTGGACCTCAGGGCCAAGAAAGAGACCACCTTTGGAAGAGCAGTGCTGACATCCATTCTACAGTGACGGCCCTCCTACCGGTAAGCGAGCTTGCTAGTCACCCTTTTTGTGTGCATTCACAGAGGCCACAATGAAGAAAGACGGATTACTTACCTGTAACCATGGTTCTTCAAGTGGACCTCTGTGAATTCAGACATCCCGCCCAGGCTCCCCACTGTCCGTCACTGACTAAGTATTACTCTAAACTCAGGCTATGGTGGCGGATAAATGGAACTGAGGGCTGAGTTGGGTGGAGCATGCGCTATAGGGGAAATCTTAAACTTTGTTACTTTTTCCAAAAGTTCTAGAAGATTCTGGGAGGACCAGCACAGGCGCTGTTAACCCTGTTGTGTGAATTCACAGAGGTCCACTTGAAGAACCATGGGTACAGGTAAGTAACCTGTCTTTAAAGTCATTAATACAGTTATCATTTACAGTAAACTGATGCAGGATTTGTAGACACCTTGTGCCCATCATTATTACTAGTATGTCAAAAGATGACAGAGCAAATATTCATTGCAGATACATTTAAGCAACAGTATTTCTCACTTGTTGGAAAACGTGAGACTTTAGCTACTTCTAATGTTTTATATAGGAAAGCTATATGTTGGCATTGATGCAGATCTTGCTGAGTGAAATTCTTTTGGCTTTTGGACTAATTTTAGTGTGTCTACTTCTAAGTAGTTTGGCTGAAGTATACCTTAGGAGACTTGCGACTCTAGGAGATCCTAAACCCTCTACTTTGTCTGGGTGATCCTGTTTTGCTGCCTTGCCAGATGATGCAGGATTGCTACAGTTATAATTAGGAGGAATTATATGCAAGATGATGTATGGAGATGACTCAAGTTATTCTTTCCATTTATGAAAACTATGTTTATTCTGATTTTCAGACTCCTATTTAAGAAGACTGGCCCCCTTTTGTTCCATGACTGTTAAGTCCACTCAGGAACCTTTGGTGAAATATTGTTGGTGTAAAGCATCTGTAATTCAATCAACTAATCAATCTTTATTTGCAGTCTCCGACCCAATATGAAAAATATATGTAATATTTAAAATAGATGTAAGCAATTAAAACATTTCAAGACAGCTAAAACAGTATAAATTTATAAAATAGATTACCCATACATTTTTTTATGGCGGGGTTAGGTAGAGATCAAGACTGTCTTTCGTATTCTTTGGGCAGAGAGAAGGAATCTGGCCACTGATTCGGTGGTTATTTTGTTTGTGTCACTTCATAAATATTTTGTATGCCAAATCAGAGTCCTACATGGGAAGACATTCATTATGAGTTTTATACGCTCATTTCTGTAAAAATTACACTCAAAAAGGACGTGCTTCAAAGTTTCAATTTCTCTATCCTTACAAGGGCACAATCTTTTTTCATAAGGGGTGCCAGAATATCGCCCATCTAAAATTGCGGATTGGAGACAGTTAAATCAGGTTCTTGATAAGACGTGCCTGTATTTTTGGGATAATCAGATTCTCCAAATACCTAGCACTTTGGGAGAAATTATAGTTTAGGCCAAGGTGCAAGATGCAGCATGTTTTATGAGCCTTTGGAATAGAATATTGAAAGTCAATGTCCCTAATCCGTTTTTCTAGGATAGAGTTGGCTGCCTTGGTTTCCTGGGCATAAAGAAAGTCCGTAGAGAGTCCTAATGCAGTTTGGCTGGAAAAGCTTTAAGCCATGAGCTATTATGGGCATCTTTCTGTATAAGGTTGAGATACCCCATGGAGGGCTCAGCATGTATTACCTTGTTCCAATATCTAAAAGCAAAGAGCTAAGAACCTATATTCTAGTGATGTTAGACCAGTCTCTATTCATAAGGCAGCTTCAGGGACACATCTTGGCATTCCCAAAATGGATCTTAGAAAAATTGAAAGAACATTCTCTATATTTGTGTGTGAAATCCTAGAATCCAAGTTGGTATACCATATAACAGTTGGGGCAGAATCTTGAGCTTAAAGACTTGGATAGCAGCTGGTATAAATTCCCCCCCACACACACACTTTAGCAAAGAAAAAATGCAAGATAGCTTTCTGCATGTTCTGGGCTGCTTGGATTATGGACCGTCTATGGACAGCCCTGGAAAGTTTATGGTGGAATATAATACCTAAATAGTTGTTCTGGGTTTTTCAGGCTCTTTGGCTGTGTTCTGAAGGTTGTTCTTCAGAAGATGCCGGCCACAGAGACAGGCGAAACGTCAGGAAGAGCAACCTTCAGAACACGGCCAAAGAGCCCGAAAAACCCAGAACAACCATTAGATCCCAGCCGTGAAAGCCTTCGCGAAAATACTTAAATATTTTAGCTGTTTTACTTGCTCAATGCAAGAACCACTAATTGTCCAATCTCTTGGTGTTACGGACTGAGCAAAAACCATAATTTTGGTTTTAATTTATAACCAATTGGTTGTTCTTACAGTAGGTCATAAATGTACGGATCAGCCATTTAACGCCTATTTTTGACAGTGACAGAAGAACCGTGTCGGAAGTCTGTTCCAAGACACCACCCAAGCAGATCATTTAAATGCAGGTTAAATAATGTGGTGGCTATTATACAGCCCTGTCGAACCCCTTTATTAGCCTGAATACAGTAGGTTGTGTCAGGTTTCTTTCTGTACCACATCTAACACAAAGTGTGGTGCCCTGATAAAGGCACTTAATAAGATATAGGGGTCTCTTGTCTATAGAGGATTTGTGTAATTTTGACCATAGAATATCTCTTGGGACAGAATCAAAAGCTGATTTTAAGTCTATGAATGCAGTATA